AGAGGCAGCTGGCTCCTCATCCCACCTGTGTCCTTGCCCGCCACCACTCCCAAGCCTGGCATGATGCTGAAACACCACAACTGGGCTGCCAGCCAAAAACACACACACCGAGCCCCTGGGAGCCGTCATGGCCAGGAAAGACCCAGGGGAACAGGGCAGAGATCAAGGCACCAGCCCACCCGGGCAGGGTGAAAGCAGTGTGAAAGAGCAGAGCGCAGAAGTGTGGCTGGGCTGAGAGGGTGGACAGAGGAGGGACTGAAGAGCACCTAGCTAGCACGAATCCCCCCTGCCTCCCTCTCACCTAAGCACGGCAGGGAGGAGACGCCGGTGACCATCCCTGCAGACACCACCAGCTCCACAGCAGCTCCTGCCCGCTGCCAAGTCAGCTGTGTCCGAGTGCTGCTTGTTTTTCGAGTCCGTGCCGAAATTGCTCCTTCGCACTCTGCGGTACCATGCAGGTTGTGGTCTCTCCCCTTGTCCAAACCCCTTTCATTTTGCTGCTTTAGCTTGTTTAGGCTTGATGCTGTACAGCTGTTTCCCCCAAAATAAAGAGCACAAGAGCTGCCACCTCCTCAAGTGCTTTGAAACCTTTTCTCCTGCTCTGTCATTACCTGTTTAAGAAAAACCTCAAAGCTTGATTTCTCCCCTCAAATCACTTACTCTGAAAAAGAGCTCAACAGTTTTGGGAGCACACATAAAGAACCACTGAGATGAAAGCCTGAAGCTTCTGAAGAGGTTAGACCTGGGCCTCTTCGCTGTTATCTAAGTAAGGGTACAGGCACACAAACAACTCGTTGCAGAGATCTAGTGGAGTACAAATTTGCAGTGACTCACACACTCTGAAGTAACTGCCATGTGCTCACTTCTACCCCACAGCAAAACACAAGCTCATTTACCCGTCAACACAAGATGGGCAGCACAAACCAGCATCTCGGATTGCACAGCACCCCTGCAGCTTCACCACCTAAATCACTGCACAGAAGCCTACTCCTCTGCCCATATTTGAAGCGTTATTAAGAGAAGGGATAATTCCAATGACAATCCAGGAAATACTGCTGTCCTACCAGCAGTGACGCTACGTTCCTGGGATGCTGCTTTCCTTCACTGCAAATTCTTTGCTGTCCTTAACTCCTTCAAAAAGCAAAGGAGCAGCCCACGTACTTCTCAGCCAGCAAGAAGCAGGCCAGGACCCTGACACAATTGCCACTCAGATGTGCATGGTCCGCAGATCCCCCATTTAATCAATCCAGTTTCGTAACTTCCCTCTTCAGTATACCCACAGTGTCTTCCCATCTCAACCACAAAGCCAAAATCTCCATCAGTTGCTCAGGAGCCCTGTGGGCAAAGTTTCCAAAAGCAGCCAAGTCTTTAGCCACGACTGGAAGAATTCATTTCACTCAACATCAACCGCCTAGCCCAAGTCTAACACCTAGGCTGTCTCTTCAGTCATCTTAGAGAAGGATGCACTTCACTCAAACAAAGATGGGTTGCTCTCCAGATTTGTCCCTCTCCGTCCTCTGATGGCAGATACTGCCTCAACACCTACCTTACGCAACTTGCTTGGTGTTAGATGAGTGGGAGGCCACTCATGTAATCTTCTAAAAATCTTTCCCCCCGTCCCTGAGTAAAATAGCACGAACTAGCCTCAGCAATTTCATGTCAGCCTCAGGGAACTGAACTCTGAAGGCAAACAATGGAGTTGCGGACTTTGTACGTGGGCTAACCCTTTCTCATAAACCAATCACGAGGCCACGGTTCCACACCATCCTAAAAAGTTGCACTTTTTTTTTTTTTTTTTTCCCCCACTTACCTGAGCACTTGCAACTCAGTCTGAGATGTCCTAAATTATTCCTCCTAACGCACCTCACAGCCTAGGTATAACTCCTTCTTGCCAATGGTGTAGCTCAGGAAGAGATGAGAACAGGGAAAGCATGATACCGAAAGACTTATTTTTGAAGCAACTGAAGTAAATTGAAGACTGGTGAAAAAGGTTAAGCCTTGATACATGTTTCCCCACGGCAGAAGGCCCTTGAGCCACATTACTGACCTCATTCCTAGCTTCAGTGAGATTAGCACTTGAGCTGCATGCCTAAATTCAGGTAAGAGTCCCACAAAGTGCCTGGGGAGCACTTCTTACTCCAGGCCATCAGAGACATCAGGTCCTCAGAGAGATAATAGATCCTGGTCAAGATCTCACTGAACAAAAAGAAACCTTGAGTGGAGACATCAAAAACAGGAGAGGGACAACTAACCACGTTTGCTGTTTTCAAGCCCAAATGGCCAATCTTTGAAGCAGACAAGACCGTTTTTTAGCAGCTGCAGAGCCCTGGATACACAGCCCTCAATGCCACTCAGATGGCAGGAGCAAAGACACATCCCAGCTGCTCTGTTGCAAGCTGAGATGTGCCGGTGCAGACCCCAGCATCCCACCCAGCTGCCCCAAAACTCCCAGCTCACCCATCACAGGGCTGTATCGCTCAGGTGAAAAGGGGAGAAGCTCTTCATTCAGCCCTATCTTCAAACCACAGGACACAACTACTCAACGCTCCCACAGCAAGTCTAAAATCAACACTGCTCCAAATCCATCCATTTCACACATAAATGGAGAGAACAGACCTGCCTCCCTCGAAGCTTTGCTTTTGCCTAAAAAGAGCCACTCAATATAATTAGTCAATTAAAAATTCATAACTGGATGAAAGAAAAAAAAAGTTTGATTCTGTTTCTGAGAAAATGAGAACAACAACTCTCATTTAGCTCTCACATACCTCTTCTTGCATATTGTCTACAGCAACAAAGCCAGCCTGAAAACCCACGACCTGTAGCTGAAAGCTAAAATGACAGGAAAAAAAAGGGGCGCGTGCTCTGCCCAGCCCTGCAGAGAGAAGCCCTTTTCCCTGGCAGGACCTCAGGGTTTGACGGGGCTGAATCAGCACTGGTTCACGTGAATGAGAGCCAGAGGGGAGGCCCTCTGTAAGGGCCTGTTGTCTACAGGTCATTGCAGGGGGCACTCCGGAAAATTCAGAGTTCGGTGACACCACAGAAAACACCTATGCAGCTACACACATCCAAAACACAAGTGACCCTCAGTCACTTCTGAAGTGAATTTTCAGAAATGAATTAAGCTAAACCAAATTAGGGACCCAAATTCCGAATGCAAGCATCCATGACAGGGCATAATGTGATTTAACTAATCCACTAAAAGTTACTTTAGATCAATTTTCTTGAGTGTCGCTGACACACATAAGCCCCGAAGCCAGTGTCCTCAAAGCACTATTCATGGGTGTCTATGGAGTCCCAAACCTTATGTGCCTTTTACCTGTGGCAAGCATAGAACAGAGCAAAACCATACCAACCCAGCAAGCCCTGGGTTGGCCACCAAAGCAGCTGCTGAGCTATGGTTAAAACCAGGAGGACACTGGCTCCCCAGCCCCTGGGGAGAGCGGTGGAGGAGCTCCCCAGCCATCGGACACACTGGCTGTGCTCGCCCACATCCCCATCCCGGGCTGTGCCCCACGCCAGCAGCTAACACAGGTATTTGCACTCACTCCAAAGCTCTCTGGTGCGGACCCCAGCTCATGGGCTGGCTTCCATGGGGTGCAGCTCCCTGGCAGAGCAACCCAGCTGCAAACCCCAACAGCCGCAACCCCACCCTGCCCCCAGGCACTTTTCTTCACCGGGTGTTGGTTCTCAACGGGCTTCACTCCCAGAGGTGACTTTACAGCAGCAGCACTGACTCAGTCTTGTTTAAACTAAAAGGGGAGCCACAAACCTGGACACCTGAAGCAAATCATGGAACTACAAATAAAAAAAAAAAAAAAAAAAGAAAAAGAGTATTCGGGCATCTACCTGTCAACTGCTTGTGGACATCAGAAGGGAAAGCAGGCACCTAAATAAGCGCCTGAACCCAGGCTGTGGGGCTTCACCTGGGAGAGTGGCTGGGCTGGCAGCTCCCAAGGGAAGGAGCCGCGGCGCACACAAGCTAGAGGCATGAACCACAACCCAAAGGAGGGCTATTGTGACTTAAATTCACACCTCGGCTGCTTTCACAACAGGTTTCCTGTGTCAACACGGCCTCAATCGGCAACACCCTGACCGGCTCGCATGTCTGGATAACGCCAAAGTGGTTTCCAAACTGGAGACCTGCAGGCTCATGAACTTGTCCTAAGGAAAGCAAGCCTGCTGTCTGTTTGCTTGAATTTGCTAGAGCTGTGTCTCTGCTGCAAGGAGCTCATCCTTCAGCCAAAGAGCTTGATGGAAGCTATTTGACCACTGTTAGCTGAGTTAGAGACTTCAAATCCAATCCCATTTTGAGATACAGAAAGCAAGCTGAAGCTTGAAAAGGTCAAATCAGCTAGTCAGAGGGGTGCCGTGGAAATGCTCCAAGTTTTAAAGAACCTGTTTTCGATTTTCCTAACACAGACAAAAGAAAAAAAAAAAACAAACCAACTCCCCCCCATTCACCTACAGATAGCTCAGTTTGATCGGTGTGTTGGTTTCAGGCCGCATTCAGCACTGCCCTCTGTTAAGAGCCTGAAGACTACAGTCTCTCCTGTTCCCTTTCCGTACTGCTCGTTGTCACTCCTCTTTTCCCCGCTCTGCTGTTTCTCCACCTTTGGCACACAGCTCTCTCCTCTGCAGCTTGTGCCGTCTGGAGCAGCCTCCCCTACCCCTCTCTCTCTGCGTAAATCAGTTCCACGTCGCTCTCGCTTTCAGCCACGGCTTCAAACGTTCCTCTCCCCAGCTATGCTGCCTGTGGCATCTCTTCTTTATAAGGGCCTTATTACTACAGAAAGCTTGCTATCTCCTGTGTCCTATATTGTGATTTCCTGCAACTCACACCACTGTGCTGCCTGCTCTCTGCTCCTACTCTCCCTTGCTGGTGATTTTTCTGACATCTTATGTGGACTACACTGCACATGGAGCAGGGCTCATGGTTTGTGCCTCACGCCGGTGGGGAGATGCCCCGTTGCCCCAGCCACGCCGTTAGCAGGACAGCTTACCCACGAGGTTCATCTTGGCGCTGTAGCTCCCAAAGTACCTCTCGTCGGTGTTGGGCGTGTGGCACTCGTACTCCCCAGCATCCCGGTCCTGCAGCTCGGTGATGTGCAGCAGGACGGCGTCCCCCTGCACCCGCTCCACGAAGATCCCCCGGCTGCGGACCCGCTGGGTGTAGATGGCGTAGGGGAAGGAGGGGTCGACGGTGCTGACGATCTGCACCTCCCGCTCAGGGGCCGAGGGCAGGTAGATGGACCACTGGAAGTTCTGCTCCGCCGGGCCCTGGTAGCCGCTCACCTTGCACCACAGCGTGACGTGGGACCCCTCGGTGCGGTACAGGGGCCCTTCCTGCACCGACACTTGCCGCTGGGCCAAGGCCATGCCTGCGGGAGAGAGGAGCCCAGCGTTACTCGTCGGCAGGCAGCCCCCATGCCTACCCCCAGTCGCACCAGTCCTACCCCTTCCGCGGCTGCGCTCGGCGAGCCAACACCTCGCACCCCATTTTAAAACCGGCACAGCACCCCCCAAGCTGGGTCGGCAAGCAAGCTGCAACGCAAGTGAAGTGTTTCTCAGAACGCCCCGTGGAAAAAAGTGGTGTTGAGATAAGATAAAACCTTTCTTTGGTAGCGATAAGAATCCGGGCACAAAAAGGCGCCGCGCCGCACAGCAGCACAGCAGAACCTCCAGCTGGCAGGGCGTTCCTTCCAGCACTACTCTCACCCCCAGCCCCATCGCTTTGGCAGCGACTCCCTCTGCTCCCAGCACAGCCCAACCCAGACCACCTCCCAGCAGGAGAGAGGCCCAGGAGGCCACGCTCCCACCTCCTTGAGTTTCTGGGCTGGAGGCTTCAGCTGGTACAAAATCCCATCGTTTTCCCCTCAAACCCAGCACGCCTTCTCCTGTCTCTCTGTCACACTTGTGAAGGCACACAGGGAAAGGCCACGTATCCGGCACTGCCTTTCCAAGCCTACTTGAAAGGAGTATATCTAGTACGTAATAAAAACAATTAAAGTTAACGGAGGGAGTGGGCATATTACACCAAAACTTACCGCCCCTGGCTGCTGGAAACGGAGACCCAGTACCGGGTGCTGTACACACGCAAACTGGTGCAGCACGGAACAAAGACAGTCCCGCAGCACGGCGACCGCGATCTGCTGTATTTTTACACAGATTATGGATGGCTGGCCCTTGGGCTCATGGCACATTACCAGCACAGCCCTCCAGGGGCCAGATAAATTACAGCAATCTATCTTGTTTGTTGCTACATCAAAGGCTCGAGGTCTGGAGACCGCGGTGGGTGTTCATCGGTTATTGAGTTACCAGCAGCATGCGCACACGGCGAGGCCAATCACCCCGGCTCCTCTGACTGCTTGCTTGCCATCATAAAACAGCAATAAGCCGATTTAAAGTGGGTCCTGCATAATCACGTTTGCAGATTTCATCCTCTGTATACAGGCGCAGGTTGGGGTCTCCTCTCCTCCCCCTCCGATTTTCAACAACGTTCAAGTCCAGAGAAGAATTTAATCTTTCAAGAATTAGCGGCTTGCAGGTGGAAGAGGCAGCCTGGCATCTGGGGATCACGGACTCCATCCCACCCTCTGGACGTGGATGTCCAGATAGGAAGTTTGTCTCCACAGCCAGCCTGGACCAGAGCCAGGAGGGATGGTTCTTACCAGCTTAAAACAAATTGTGAAAAATGGGTTCATCACATCCATCGGGCCATGCAGCTGAACAGATGGAGTGCAATTCAAACTATTAACTTGGGCTCAGCTCGCTGCTGCTCCAAATTATGTTTCTTTTTGCTCTTTATGAAATAATGTGATTTAAGGGGAGGACAGGGAAAGCCAGCACGTTCAAAATGAACGGGGGAGAGGAACAACAGAGGCAAACACTCCCCCGCTGTTTGCTGTACCGATCTCTTCATCCTGGGGAAAGATACCGCTAGAGACAACTAACACATCTAAGGTGCAGGCAGCCGCTTCTCTCGCTCCGTAAAGGCCAAAGGACAAAGCAAATACTACAGCCTTTGATGTGAAGAACTGTTTTTCGAGTAGCAGGAAGGACAAGATCTTTATTGCACACCTAAAGTTAGCTCAAAATACGATTTCTGTATGCACATCTAGCCTTGCTACAGCATACAGATACCCCGCACGCAATGACACAACTGAAATTGCGTCACAACGCAAACATGCAGCGGTAAGAATTAAAAGTTGCACACACAACACTCCTTTGGGTATTTCTCAGCTCCTGAGTGCATGACCTTGTTTTGCAGGCTTTTAAAGCAGTGCTGCTGTTTTGACACAGCAATTCTTTGAGGAGTTTTCCAACCATCCATCCGAAAAACATCGTTTTAGCAGAGAAACATACTGGCCCTTCCAAAGCTCGCTGGCAAGATCACGACCTCAGGGACCCACAGCGCAGATCTCTGCACCCTGATGCACACCACCTTTTGGTAGATGTCAAATCCCACCCACCCACACAGCCAGCACTAACGTGGGCTTCCTTCTCCCCTTGCCAGTGGTTTTTGGGACCTTGCCTGTAATCCTACGACCTAGAGTCCTGCTCCAGGTTCAGAAGAGACCCACTTTCTGCCTTCCTCCTCTCCTACTCCCTCTTGCACTGGATTGCTGCACCTTCCTGATTCCACCAAAAGTGAGAGAGGTAAGAGCCGAAGAGCTCCTTGCTTGCCCGTTCCAGCTCCAGGAGCCCAAGCAGCTGAGGGACAGAAGAAGCTGGTGCAGAAAAAGCCCTGCCCAGCCCCAGCGTGGAAGGCAGACAATACAGTCGGGGCTTTGCTACAACTTGCAGCACGCTGCCGTTCAGCCCCGGAGAGGTGAGACACAAAGGCTCAGGAGTTGGTTGAACAGGGTGGATCTCCAGAGGGGCAGGGAGCGGCACACCCGCTGTGCTCTTGCCCCTGCCTGGCTGCAAATTCCTGCTCCAACACCGGTGGGCACAAATGCTTTTCAACACTTAAAGAAAACCTCACACAGTAGAAGCAAAAATACTTCTCCAGTAAATCATCTGAACTGGGAAAGGGAAGGAGAAAAACAATCAGCCTGAGACAGACCTCCACCGCCGCAAGTTTTCTCCTCAAACAGTTAACTTTTTGCACAGTGAAGGGTGTTTGGCGGTTGTCAAGCTCTGGGAATTGCTATATCCACGAACAAGCAGTGTCAAGAGAAGCACTGCATTTCTTAGCGAGCGAGCGTTCCGATTAACAGAAATAATGGGTGAGATCCCATTTTAAACTCTTATCTTTCCCTCTCAAAGCGAGAGAAGAGCTCGCTGGAGGAGGAGCTGTGTGCTCCACACCTCCCCTAGGACGCCCAGGAGACGTTTATGGTGGCATTTGGCTGGTACTTCACTGGCACAGCTGGCTTTTAATTGCAAATCCAACATAATTTACTGACAATGCAAGGGCTGATATGGAGGAGGTAGTGAGCCAAGAGCTACTTTAAAATTAATAAGAAATGATAGGTTTGTGCATCTGTTTTTTTTCCAAAAGGCAGCAAATCCCCCACGATAAGGAGGAAGCGTTCCCTGATCCTTATCCCCTACAGATGAGGGCTATCGTCGTCGGCCTTCTGAGCTAAGACCAAGCCAAACAACAGCCAGGCAGCTCTCCACGCTTCCGCTGGCTCACCCATCTCCCAGGCTCCATTTGGGAGACAGGAGGTGTGCCGGGGAAAGAGGAGGCGGCAAGAGGGGATGGTGCAGACGGACGATGAGGCTCAGGGTCACGCAGCAAGGGGACGGTCCAGGACCCAGGCACCAGGAGATGCCCAGTCCCTGCATCTCCCCTGCGCTAGCCTGCCTAGCAGGCTCCAGGGCCATGGCCAACGTCATGTGAAGCAGCTCTGAAAGGCAGGCGACAGGCAAGTGAGGAATGAAATGTCAGAGTCACCCAGGCTGTTCATGTCTCCCTCGTTATATCACAGCCAGGACTTCAACGCCTCTCCATTCAGTCTACGGGCAAGAAAGGAGCATCGAGCATCCCTGGCAGCCAGGCATCTCACCCAGAAGTGCTGTAGCTCAGCTTCTGCGTACACTTTTGTCTTTGCAAAATCTGCACCCTTCCAGCAGCGCCACCTGACTACAGCAAGATCTGACCTTTCCACAGGGAGACACGCAGAGCTCAGGTTTTCCAGAGATGAGTGGCCATTTCAGGTGCCTGATCCAAAACACTTCGAAGATGCCCCATCTCAGCAAGCACCAAAACATGTACTCTTTGGGAAGCAGGGTCCCTTTCAGAAGAACAGGCATGCAAAACTGAATCTGAGAACACTGATTCAAGGCTTATCACATGGGATAGGCAAGTGTAATGAAAGAAAGGATGGCTGTGCACACAGGAACTCTGCTACACCATTGACACACCAATAGAATAAATAAAAGTTAGGGACAAAATGACGAGGAACCTCTTTCACAAAGACTCTCCCTGTCTCCAAGAGTGTGGGTTATGCCTGGACCACACCCAGAGGCATCACAGCAAGTTCCATCGGGGTACCTTGGGTATCAATAATCACTGCCAGTAGACCTTTAATCTAAAAGAGGAATTCAAGCTCTTAGAAGGAGTTTTATCCTGGATCTCTAATCATTAGAGAGCAATTAAAAAAACTCTTTACATTTTTCCATATCTTTCAGAAGCATGGGGCTGACAGTGCAGAACACCAAATGGATTACATAGCTTGAGGGGATGTTCCCACCCCTGCAGCTTTAGAGCAGTTTTCCTTCCCTTAGAAGCTCTAAAGCAGAATTTGTCAATAACTGATAATACTAATCCTAAATTTCCTTTAGAAATTACTTTGTGCCTTCGTCTGCAATTATTAGATAGAAACATTTCCAAAGAGATCCCTCTTCCTCCTCTCCCCGTCCTTTGCGCAAATACACAGCACACACTTGGGTTTTTTTTGTTGTTGCTATTGTTTGTTCAACTTACAAGCGCGCCTGAAAAGGCATCAGAGAAGAGCAACAACAATGATGAACACCAGGGACCAGCTTCTACGTAAGAAATAAGGGAGCAGGCAAGGACTCTGGCCTGGAAAACAGACGTCTTTAAGAGGATCTGGTAAATGTCTGTACAAATATGCATGCCATGGAAAGGATAGTCAAGCATTGACCATTTACTGTCTCTTCCAGTTTAAAAGCTAAGGGCCATCAACCAAACCCAGTCAGATCCAGCTTTATAACAAGTGAGGCAGTTCTTGCAGCTGCACTTAGCAGACCTGGGGACATCCCTGTCGAAGGATGCTGTGGATACGGAAAGTTTGCATGGGTCAAAATGTGGGTGGGACAAGAACTTCAAAGAGGACTACTAAACAGGTAGATCACATCAGGTTTGGGAGGCTCCCAAAACAAGCTACAACTGCATAGCTGCCTGCCT